CCAAAGCTTTCTCAAAAGAGAAAATATTTTCTATATTCTCCACATTGCTCACTATAATGCAATACATTAGATACTGACATTCATAAATTTAATAATTTTACTTTAAACTGTTCATGAGTCATGCCAAAAGGCCAGGAATAAGTATTCATTTATAAAACCCAAATGTGACAATATAACACCAGTCACAAAGCTGATATATGGGAAAGAGCCAGCTAGTCAGAAGCAAGTCAAATATGCAACAATCTAAACTCTTAGGAGCTTCACAGTGGTGGGGGAGCGGGGGAAGAGGAGGGGATGGGAGGTATGTAAAATGTTAGGAAGAAAAAGCAAACTGCCACTGATAACCATAAAAATCACAATACCTAGGGAAGTAATGATCTGTAAACAGGAAAATATATTTTCAATAAATTAAAAAGTGGAATGTCAAATCAGTAATGGTTTTAATCTTTTTGTTGTTGCTATGAGGTGTTTTGGTTTGATTTTTGTTTTTTGAGATAGTCTTACTACACAGCCCAGGCTAACCTCAAACTTATGATCCTTCTGCCTCAGATTCCTTTAGGCTTTGTAGAACATTATTCATAACTACTTAATCCTGTCTGCCTTACTTTAGATAGTAAGTAAATGAATGGGCATAACTGCACTTCAATAAAACTTGATTAAAAAGAGGTAGCTGCATTTGGCCCTGGGCCACAAATAACCCACTATTGCTCAAATAATACTAAATGAAAATGTGAAGAATTAAACAGAAAGTCAAGAAAACACAAATTACAAAATTCCCCTCATTAGGATGAAATCACAGGGCTGAGTGCTGACTCTGCCACTAGGAGATTATCATCTCAACTATACACATGTACAATCCTGCTTCCTCACCCCATGAAGTGGAGACAATGTCTTCAATCCACCTGGGTAACCATGAGGATCAAACAACATAAGGAAGGTCAAATTACAAACCTGCTATAAACTACAAACTGGCACTTGAACACGAGGTACAATTTTTCCATTCAGAATTTTCTAAGAGTTAAATGCACCCCTCTACCTCCCAGGTATTGCTATATGTCACTCTTCTACAAAAGAAAATTTACATTATTTGTCATAACTTTGGCAAACCCCATCTTTCATATTCCAGTGTAGCTTTATCACTAAAGTTCATCTCATGCAAACAGATACAGAAACTAGGCCATCCATCTCTATTCTTTTTCAGAACAATATTCTTACTTTGCCCACTCAGGGTGATTTGCTACAGTTTCATTAATCAAATTACTTGTGACTTCAATCATATGTACACTCTCTTGATGTACCTGTATTAGGGATAAAGGGGGAAAAAACTCAATTAATGATAATTTTTACCATTTCCTTTAACTCTATTATTTAAACAATGCATTTAGAATCAAACATGTATGCATCTTAGCTTTACTTGACTTAGAAACATGCGCTGACAAGTCTGCTATACATACTGTCCTATGATATACATGAATTGGCAGATTATCATGTTGCTTCATTTCTAAATATCTGGGGATATTTTAGCTTCTTTGCTTTTTATTTTTTACTAATTTCTAATTTAATTCTGTCGTCAGAGAATCTGTTCTATGGTTTTAATACTTCAAAATGAATCGAGCATACTGTTTATCATAACGAATGCTCCATGTTTACCACTAAACGATGCCACTAGCTCTTTGCTGCACTGGTAATTTTCTAGATAAGGTCTCACCGCCTGCCTGGGTGTGCATACCTGGACACAGTCAGCCCATTAGGCTTCTCATTGGAGCTAGAATAATAACTGCACAACAATGCACCTAGCTCTCCATTGAGAAGGTTTTAGGGACTTTTGTAACTGGCCTGATCTCAAACCATTATTCTCTCAACCTCACCTTCGAAAAAGCTAGAATTAGAGGAATGAGGCACTGGTCCCCAGCTAAGAATTCTTTCTCTCCTCTATCTCCCTCCCCTCCTTGTATATTGTTTGGGGTGGTATTAAGGCTTGAACTCAAGGCCTCTTGCTTGCTCAGCTGGTATTTTACCACTTGAGCCATGCTTCCAGCATAGCTTTGTGCTGCTTATTTTAAAAATGGAGTCTCACAGGTTTTTCGTCAGGGGCTGGTAATAAACTTCAATCTTTTGTATCTCAGCCTCCTGAATGGCTAGGATTACAGGCATAAGCCACCAGCACTCAGAAAGAATGTAGTTCTTAATAATCAATTATATAAGCCGGGCGCCAGTGGCTCATGCCTGTAATCCTAGCTACTAAGGAGGCTGAGATCTGAGCATCTTGGTTCAAAGCCATCCCGGGCAGGAAAGTATGTGAGACTCTTAACTCCAATAAACCACTGGAAAACTGGAAGTGGCACAGTGGTTCAAGTGGTAGAGTGCTTGCCTTGAGCTGAAGAGCACAGGGACAGCGCCCAAGCCCAGAGTTCAAGCCCCACGACTGACCAAAAAAAAAAAAAAAAAAAATCAATTATATAAAGTTAGTGACAGTATATTAAAGAGACACCTACATATTCTTACTGATTTACTGTGTTCTGTCTTCTTCTTTTCTCAGTTACGACAAGAAATATTGACTCGAACTATAATCATAAATTTGTCTTTTCTGAACTCAGGACACTTGAAATATAAAAGTAATTGCGTAAAGTGCTTATTTTTCTCTAATAATACTTGTTTAATAGACTTTGTCCAACTTTTGTTTTTGGTTTGCAAGATTTACCTTTATTTTCTCACTATCAAGTTTGTAATTTAGGGGGCAGGAGTCACTGTTGTCATTACTTTTGCTTTTTTGGCTACTTTGAATTTTAGGTATTTCTCTTACAGATACCATTCAGTTTACAACTTGCTTTTTATATCAGCCTGACAATTTCTGCATTTGGATTAGAATGTCTAGTTGTTTCACATGTATAAATCTATTGATGTGACTGGGTCTAGGTCCGTCATTTTGTTTTTTGCTTTCTGTCTGTCCCATTTCTAGTGTTCATTTGCTCTGTACTCTTCTGTGTCCAGCAAATATTTTTTAGTTTATCATTTTAGATCCACTAAATTTCATGCTCTTTAATGGCTGCCATCTAACTTACCTAAACATCTTTAATTTACTACAATCTTCCAGTTCATAGTGCATCCCAAAAAAAAAAAAAACTGTAGTAACACCAGTATAGATTTGTTTTCCAGCCTTCTTGTTTGTGCTATGGTGTACTACACATAAATGTGATACATAAATAACTCACATACACATTATGAAGTCTACAACAGATTTAAAATTCTTCTTTAAATTCTCAGTTACTTTAACAAATTAAATGAAGAGAGGTAAATCTCACCTGTATTTACTCACATATTTACCAAGTTATTTGTCTCCAGTTAAAAGACATTTTTGTAAAAACAAAATGCCCTGAAACATTGGGGCTGGGAAGGTGGCTTAGTGGTAGAGCGCTTGCCTTGCATCCATGAGGCCCTGGGTTCGATTCCTCAGCA